CCCCCGGCCGCCCAGGTCTCGGCCGTTTATTTTTCTTTTCTCGGCGGTTTCTTTTCTCCTAATGAAAACCACCCGCCGGAGGAGCGGACAGATGGGATCGCTCCCCGCCAGCCAGGCCGCCCCGTGCTGTGCTGTTGGAGAGACTTGCTGTTAGAGGCTTAATCATGAAGCTGAGGTGTGTTGGGGGGGGAGGGGGAAGGAGAGAAATAAAGTCGGGAAGGAGCCCCTCCTCTCGCATGAAGGGCAGTAGCTCCCAGCGCGGCTGAGAGGGGAGACTGCTTTCTGTTCACTCGCGGGGTCTCAGGCAGAGAAAAGCCTCCGGCCCGGCCGGCGGGGCTCAGTGGCTGAGCGTCCACCTAGGAACCAGGAGGTCACGGTTGGATTCCCGGTCAGGGCACAGGCCTGGGTTGTGGGCTCGATCCCCGGTGTGGGGCGTGCAGGAGGCAGCCGATCCATGGTTCTCTCTCATCACTGATGCTTCTATCTCTCTCCCTCCCCCTTCCTCTCTGGAATCAATAAAATAAAATCTATTAAATAAATAAAAAAGAAACAAAGAAAAGCCCGCATCTGCTCAGAGGCGGCGCTCGGGGTCAGGGGGCAGCCCCCCGGGGCCGGGCACCTCTCTCCAGCGACTTGTCCTCCGTGGCACAGGGCTCGGCATCCTGGGAGCCCGGGCACCCCGCTGCCTCACGCGGCTGCAGGGGAGCGACTGTCTCGGGAACCGGAGCCCGTGTGCGGGGAACTTTTCCAGCTTCCCCCGAGGCGCACGCGGTGGATGCGCGAGGGAGGGACGCGTGCCCACTGGACAGAACTGGGTGATGGTCAGGAGGCAGGGACGTCAGGCGTGGACAGAGGTAGCCGGGCCCGACCCCAGGACCCGCCGAGCCCTGCGCCTCCCTCTCCCCGAGCGCACTGGCCAGGCCTCCCCCTCGGACACGGTCTCCTTTAGCGACAGCTGGCACTGGTGTCAAAGCCACGCCTGTCACTGCTGCCCTCGGGAGACGGAAACTGCCCCGCAGGCACCGCGCTCTGCGGGCGTGAGTCTAAGCCACAGACGGTGCGTGCGTGTGTGCGTGCGTACGTGTGTGCATGTGTGCGCGCGTGTGTGTGCGTGCATGTGTGCGTGTGTGTGTGCGTGTGTGTGCGTGTGTGTGTGCGTGTGTGTGCGTGCGTGTGTGCATGTGTGCATGTGTGCGCGTGTGCGTGTGCGTGTGTGCGTGTGCGTGTGCGTGTGTGCGTGTGCGTGTGCGTGTGTGCATGTGTGTGTGCGCGTGTATGTGTGTTTGAAAGCACCGAGGAGCGCAAGCGGTGCTGCTGCTGCTGGCAACACAGTTGAAAACCTCCCCGGACTCAGCCTGCGAGGTGCCACGCGACACCCCAGCGCCCCACATCCGCCAAGGCCTACCTGGAACTCGGGGCGGGGCTCCCAGCACCCCAGGGAGGAGAAGCCCAGGGCGGAGGCTGGGGAGCTGTAACGGAAGCTGGTCCTGCCGGCCGGGGACGGAGTGGGGGTGGGGTCCTGCCGGCCGGGGACGGAGTGGGGGT